ACCGGACCGGGACCGGCAACGGGATCGCAACCCTCAGGGCTGCCCCCGCGCCTCGCTCAGCCAGTGAGCGGGAACCGGTCTGTATGTGGGATCCGAACCCTCGGTGGGAGCGCCGCCGCGCTTCCCAAGCGGCGCACTAGCACAGTGCGCCACCGGGCCGGCCCTACTTGTGATTTTTTAAAACAGAAGCAAAACTTTATTAATGAACCTTTAAATATTGTCCAGTTGATGGAAGAGAAAAGGAAGATCATAGGAATGTGTAAAAATATTAGGGCGAGTAGGGAAAGATGGGAGTGAAGTGTGGAAGAATTTTGCATGTGAGGAATGGGGGTTAATAAAGAAAACTAGAGAGTCAAAAGGCTGCTAAATGTTATTTAGTTAAGAGCACATGAGATAAAAACATAAAAATTATGGTGGAATACTGGAGGTCATTTTTAAATGAGGAAACACACACAAAAATGAGATTAAGTAGGAAGCTTAGAGACTAATGGTATACCACAAATGATGAAGAATCTTTTAAACCATCACTGCTAGGATCTGTTTTTGAAGCATTTGCTGAGAAGTCATTTTCAAATGATGATTCAGAAGCACTAGAAGAAAAGAAAGTAACTATTTCATGAATTCTATTTTTTTTATTTTTTTTTTGCAGCTGACTGGTAATGGGATCTGAATCGTTGACCTTAGTGTTATAACACCGTGCTCTAACCAACTGAGCAACCAGCCAGCCTGAATTCTGTGTTTTCATCAGTATTTTCTATCTCTAAATTCTCCTGAAACATTAAATATTTTCATAAAAATTTCTTTCAGGCAGCAATTTGAGTATGTTATTTTTTTTTTTCCTTTTTGTCTTTTTTTGTGACCGGCAATGGGATCGCAACCCTCGGCGTTGCTCCCGCACCTCGCTCAGCCAGTGAGCGGCCGGTCTGTATGTGGGATCCAAACCCTCCGCGCCCGCGGGAGCGCCGCCGCGCTTCCCAAGCGGCAATTTGAGTATGTTAAATATCACAGTTCTTTGTCCATACTTACCCTGTGCTTGTCACTGAAGAGGTGCTTTCTGAGTTAGCAAACTCAATAGTAAAAGAACCAGAGGATACTGGGTCAATTTTCTGAAAGAAAGAGCAGCCCTTAGTAGGTTTAAATACAAGTAAATTACTTCTCTACAGTGGCTCAGTCTCTGTGTACTAAGTGCCACATTTATTTCCCTGCATTTACTAAGTCCACAACCATAAACAATCACAAAATTAATACATTTTTTATGAATGTCTGATCTGGGTTTAAAAAACAACCCTGAATTGCCAATAGAACTTTCATCCCTCTGGGGCCTCATAGACCTACAGCTAATTGACGGAACACAGAACGAAGGAATCATTTTGTGATTGGCTGTCTGGGCATTATGTAAACAGTCTAATCTCAAATCAACTTCAGAGGGAATTTTAGAATATAAGAATTAAATCCAGGGCTAGCCTGTTGGCTCACTTAGTTAGAGCATAGTGCTGATAATACCAAGATCAAGGGTTCGGGTCCCTGTACTGTCCAGCTCTCCCATTCCAAAAGAATTAAATCCAAAGGCAATACATACCTTTGGGATTTTTTGTGATTGTAATTTAAGAAATGCAATTCTAGCAGCCATTTGTTTTGCTTCCTGTTTAGTAGAACCTGTACCAACACCATATTCTTTCTGCCCAATTTTGCATTTACAGTGAAATCTAGGAGAAATGATGGAGAGTATTTATCCAAATATCAAAAATACAGTAAATCTAACTTATGATTTGGAAAATATTACTTATTAATTATGGAGCTTTACCCAAAGAATTCACTTTTGACTATTTCATTCCAATGAATACTATCACCTGTTCCTCTTCCTTGTTCTGGCATAAAAGCCATCAGAGTAAAAAGTAAATAGCTGAGTCACTTCATAGGTAAGTATCCAAAAGTGCTGGTTTGGGCTATTCGCCATTTAGATTTTTTTCCTTCTCCTTTATTTACCTGGTTGGTTATAGTTCAGAAACAGTCTCCTTCATACTCCTTTGCTTTCTGCTTCTTCCAGTTCCAATCCGTTCTTTATCCTCACTTCCACAAGTCTTAGCTCACTGGTGATATTCTCAGTAACTCTCACATTCTAGTTCCTTTCCTTCATCGTATCTGTCAAATCCTGGTCTCTTCACAGTCTAGAGCTAAAACCCATTCCTTCTGATACATGGTATTCTTCCATTTAATCAAATTGGAAGGACAAACACCTGGACAAACAGCTCCCTAATCTGGCAACCGAGAAGAGTCATTCTGTACGTGTGGGAGAGCAGTTTTCACATAGTCCCTGCCATCGTGACCTCAGGGATGGGAAGATCTCTGCATCCCTCAAGCAGGGGCACCCTATACTCTCTTAGGTGTCCCACAGGCTAAACCATCCAGATACACCTCAGAAATAAAGGATTACCCAAATGTGATCAATTATGATATATGGATCTCATAGCTTCAGCAAATAAGCATTCTAATTAAAAGATGTCCAACTGCTTGTGTCGTATAAAACCTCCCATGCTGAATGTAAAAAAAAAAGGACAGATATTTCTGGAATATTAGACGTGGAAATAAGCCCACTGTATTGCTTAGGTACAATGAAACAGAAGCAAAAGCCAAACTACACCTCACCTTTCGTGCCCAAACTCCTTCAATTGACACTGTTCGTAATTTACATGTAGATTTGACTTCTGGGCAAACCTATTGACAAGGCCTATGTAATTCCCAAGGAATTGTCCTTCTGAAGTATCTGTTGTCATCGATGACAAAGAACCAACTGCCTACAAAAAAAAATTTTGTCGAATATAAATGACAACAAAGATTTAACCTTTTATCTTATTTTTCTAATAAAATTACTAAATGAGCAGTTTGAAAGACAACTTAGATGTTATGTATTTCCCTATTACCTTGAGTAAAAGATACCTCTCTCCACTAGAAAAAATCCACAAGGATGAATTTTGATGATAGGAAAGAAATCATCCATTTTCCTCTTATAGTTTCATCAAGAAAAACAAAACACCTTAGTCCATTTTATTGTTTTTCCAAGCAAAGTACTGTAACACTTTCTAGCTTGCTGTACATTTTCTAAATCTCAAAAAGTAATTGATATTAAAGTAAAGCTAGATCCTGGATTACAACTCAAAGGAAAAAATGACTATAATAGCATTATTTCTAGCATTGTTATCTATACCTTCTTTTTTTCTTGATCTGACAAGTCTGGTCCAAAGTTCTTCTACTTTATTAATCTTGTCAAAGACCTCGTTTTTGGTTTTATTGATCATCTTTATGTTTCTTTGTTTCTATTATATAAATTTCTGTCATTGTTACTATTTTCTTTTGCTTTTTTGGGTGGAGGGTGTTCTATTTTTTTTTCTAACTTCTTAACTCAGTTTTCTAGCTCACTAATAATTTATGCATTTGCAATTTTGCTTGATTTTCTTTTCAGTTTTGATTAGAAAGGTGACATCTTCAAGTAAGATTTTTCAGGAAAGTATTTTGAAAGCTAAATTTTTCCAAAATTTTCAATATCTAAGACTTATCCTCTGTTGTCTCACATGTAAATGACTTCATGTCTCATTTTATAACCATTGCTCCACTATCTCCTGGTTTTTAATGCTTCTTTAAACTGCATGAAATTTTTTTTCATTTTTACATTTTACATGTTTTCCTTCTGCCTGGATGCTTCTAGAAGTCTTTCTTCATTCTGGGAGCTCGGTACTTTCACAAGAATCAATGTTGTTCTGGGTGGTTCTGTATTTTCCTATATCTATTGAGTTGTTTTAATCTGTGGTCAGGTCTTTATTTCATGAGCATTTTCTGCTGAAATCTCTTCAGATAGTTTTTTCTGTCCTATTTATCTGTTCTCATCTTCAGTGAAACCACTTCCACTCTGTCCTCCATACACATTATTATCTCTGCAATCACTTCCTCCTAATTTTCCTTTTCCATGCACTTCCTCAACTTGGTGGAGGAGACTCCTCCCAGAACATGTCAGCCAATTTCTTACTGAACATGTCTCACCTTTCCATACCTGTTCAACTTTAGAGTATTTAGCTGCTGCTCTACATCAGTATTATCCACCTTTGCCCACTATTTCCTAGGCGTACATCTCACTCAGGGTTCTACAGTTATAGAGATGGGGAAAAAAGACTGAACTAAACTATCAAATGTAAAGGAACTTGTGAATGGCTTTACTCTGTATGTAGGTATTTTCTCACAGAGAAATACAAAATAGGTTTTGCAAATTCCTTTTTACTGGGCAAAAAAAAGGCAATTACTCACCTTTTTTTCTTTAGCGAGTATCTCAATAGCTAATTTGGCTGCAGCATTTTTTGCTCCCTTCTTTGTTCTATCTTCGGCTTCTGGAAATTCTCTCTCATCTATTATAACTTGAAATTTAAACCTGCTTACAAAGAGAATATTCACAAAATATTATACAACTTATGCATCATCGAAGGACAAACGCTGCAATCACCACTGCCTCCTATGAGGGTTTGAGAAATAAATTTATATATAATTTATAATATATAAATATTATATAATTTCTATATTAAATTCTATATTAAATTCAATATAGAATTTATGCAGTCATCACAAACAGCAAAACAGCATATCTTCTTGAAGGACAGAAGGGCTTCTGTCCTCTTTTTCTTTCAAGTCATCTGTGGTTACCACTTTATACCAAGAGGACTCCCATGAAACTCTTTGGCAACTTTGCTATGGGGTTAAAGTTTTGACCTCAAAATTGTGCCAGAGTTGCCATTCCCTTGGTTTACATTTGTAGGGACATACCCTTTTTTTTTTTTTATAGCAACTTACCTTTCCTTACATAGAGGTTCCCCCACAGGCAATTCACGATACGTAATTACTACATTATGTGTCTGACGGTATTTATTAAGTTCTTCCAAGTAAAAACCTCGTGAAAGATCATTGGCCATTTCTTCTTCCAGTAACCTACGAATAAAGAGATGTTTGAATAAATGTACTCACAGAACATATTTAATCTGATTTTCCCAAGCCAGTTTAGAAGACAAAAGTGGGTGGGGAGACTGCTGTTGCAGGGAACTCTAAGCATTTTCTAATTGTTAAGCTCTCCCTTTTCCACTTGAGAAACTGTTTTAGAAACTCTATGCTCCACTGTAGACTCTGCCCCCTGCCATTTACCCTGCTTGCTTCCTGGGCCCGCCCTCTAGGAGATAATAGCAGTCTCACACGCCCCAGGGGCCAGAGGCAAATTAGGCTCCTAAAGTGACCAACGGACTGTGTCCCACAATCAGCCAATCCAAATTAGCAGGACAGCATCCCTCATTTACATAAGAGGGTCTGAATGGGAACCTGGGAGGGAAAAGAGTGGGAATTTAGGCTATATAAGGGGGTCTTTTCCTTTGTTCTGGGAGACACTGGTTTAGGAGTTCTTGCTCCCCAGTGCTCTCCTTGCTTGCAAGCAAAAAGAGGAGCTGTAACACTGAACAAAGAGCTGCAACACTAAAATAAAGAGCTATAAAACTACAACACTGACGCCGGTCTTGGATTCCTCTGTGAGCTCGCCCCACAACATTGCATTATATGGCTCATCTCAGCCACACATAAACTCAGCGAAAACTTTCTTTCAAAACCTTTCTTTCTCTCTCATGAACTGTACAATCAAGCTAATTTCTCCAAAATTTTCTACTTTCAAAACTCAACTGGCCAAAGAAAGAAGGGTCCCTTCTATTTAACTCCGCTGTCTGCTTCTACTAAGTGTCAAGTAAAAGTCTGCCCACCTGCTTGAGAAGGTAAAAAGACTGCAGGAGTAGAATTGGAATTTTTTATATTGAGAAGAAAAAGGTATATACAGTTAAAAAAAAAAAGGTATGTATAGAAAAAAGTATATATAGTAAGTGAAATTTATGAATCTATGATGGACTTAGCTGTATTGAGATTCCCCTATGAAAACTGCAGAATCCCCCACCCCCGAAATTTGCAGAAATCAATTTTAGGACAGTGGGTAAATTAAGACCCCAGTCTAGGGCCGGCCCGGTGGTGCACTGGAGAGTGCGCCGCTTGGGAGTGCGGCGGCGCTCCCGCTGAGGGTTCGGATCCCATGTGGAGACCGGTTCCCGCTCACTGGCTGAGCGCGGTGCTGGCGCAACACCGAGGGTTGCGATCCCGTTGCCAGTCCCCGGTATGGGCACGACACCGAGGGTTGCGATCCCGTTGCCAGTCCCCGGTATGGGCACGACACCGAGGGTTGCGATCCCGTTACTGGTCATTAAAAAAGACAAAAAAGGAAAAAAAAAAAAAAGACCCCAGTCTACAAAACTCACTGGACCAAGACAGTAGCAATGATTTATATTATAAACCAAATGTAAAGCATATAGAATCTAAATTTAAGAGCCAATACTATAAAACCCTTAGAAGAAAACATAAGGGTAAGTGTTCATGACCTTGGATTTGGTGATGGAACCTTAGATATGACAGCAAAAGTACAAGCAACAAAAGAAAAAAGATAAATTGGGCTTTATCCGCATTAAAAACTTGTGTATCAAAGGACACTATGAAGAAAATGAAAAGACAATCTACAGAGTGGAATATTTATAAATCATGTATCTGATAAGGGTCTAATATCCAGAATATATAAAGAGCTCCTACAATTCAACAACAAAAAGACAAACAACCCAATTAAAAAATAGGTAAAAAAACTGAACAGATATACAGTTGGCGGGCCAGCCCGTGGCTCACTAGGGAGAGTGCGGTGCTGATAACACCAAGGCCATGGGTTCAGATCCCATATAGGGATGGCTGGTTGGCTCACTGGCTGAGCGTGGTGCTGACAACACCAAGTCAAGGGTTAAGATCCCCTTACGGCCATCTTTTAAAAAAAAAAAAAAGATATACAGGTGGCCAATAAGCATCTAAAAAATGTTCAACATCATTAGTCATAAGAGAAATACAAATCCAAATCACAACTAAACAATCCAAATCACAACTTTACACCCACTAGAATGGCAATAATAATAATAATCAGAAAATAAAGGTATTGGTGAGGATATGGAGAAATTGGAAGCCTCATACGTTGCTGATGAAAATGTAAAACAGTGAAGCTGCTATGAAAAAACAGTTTTGTGGTTCCTTGAAAAGTTAAGTTCAGAATTACTATACAACCCAGCAATTCCAATCCTAGGTATTTCAAAGAATTGAAAAACAGGTTTTGAAACAAATATCTATACAGGAACATTCATAGCAGCAACGTTCACAGTGGCTAAAAAGTGGAAACAAACCAAATGTTCGTCAACTGATAAATGGGAAATGAACCATCGTATAGCCCACAATGGAATATTATTCAGTCACAAAAAGAAATAAAGTAATGTCACATACTACAACATGAATCAGCCTCGAAAACATTATGCTATATGAGAAAAGCCAGACATAAAAAGTCAGATATTGTATGATTCCATTTACATGAAACATCCAGAATAGGTAAATCCATAGAAACAGAAAGCAGACCCTGGTAACCTCTTATTTCTTGCTGGAAAGCTCTTTGGATTTTATTTCTTCCATGGCCACTCTTCCTAACACTCCTTAATCTTTGGTAGCTCTAAATGCTGGAGTGGTCCAAAGATCCTATTCTTTTCACTCTATAGTTTCTCCTTAAGGTGGCTACTTTCATGTCCGTGCTTTCAATGATCATCTGTATGTCATTAACTCTAAAATTTACATATCTCTTATGACCCTCTGAGTTTGAGATCTCTCTATCCAACATCTTCACTTGAACATCTTGAATGAACTTTAAACTCAAAATATTCAAAACTGCATTTATGTTCTTCTCCCAAGCTGGTTTGGGGTTTCCTTTCTCAGAAAATGACTCCACTATCCACCCAGTTGGAAAGCCATGAATTTGGGAGGTATCCTTTCCCAAATTCCTCTCTCTACCTTCTAATCCATAACCAAGTCTGTCAACAAAATGCTTCTACTTCTCATTGATGTCTACAGCTGCCATCCTGATTCAAGCTGCCACCACCTCACTCCTGGACTGCTGCAAGAATCTCGGAAACAATTCCTACAGTTACTTCAATTCCTTCTTTACCCTGTAGCCATCATGATCTTTCTTTTTTTCACCTTTTAAAATTATGATAAAATATACACAACATAAAATTTATCCTTTTAACCATTTTCAATGTACAATTCAGTGGCATTAAGTACTTTCACCACCATCCACATCCAGAACTCTTTTCATCTTCCCAAATAGAAAGTCTGTTTCCATTGAACAATAATTCCCCATTTCTCCCTCTTCTCAGTCTCTGATAACTGCTATTCCACTTTCTGTCTCTATGAATTTGCCTGTTCTAGGTACTCATATAGGCGGAATCATACAATACTGGTCCTTTCTTGTGTGGTTATTTCTCTTAGCATATGATATTGTAGTATGTGTCAGGATTTCCTTCCTTTATAAGATTGTCTCATGCATCAGAATTTTCTTCCTTTTTAAGGCTGAATAATATTACATTGTATGTATATACTATATTTTGTTTATCCATTCATTTGTTGATGCACACGGGTTATTTCAGCCTTTTGGCTATTGTGAATAATGCTGCTATGAACATTGGTGTGTAAATATCTGTTTAAGTCCCTACTCTCAAATCTTTTGGTTATATACCTGGAAGTGGAGGTGAATCATGTGGTAATCCTATGTTTAACTTTTTGAGGAACCACCAAATTGTTTTGAATGCTGCTATGAACATTGGTGTGTAAATATCTGTTTAAGTCCCTACTCTCAAATCTTTTGGGTATATACCTGGAAGTGGAGGTGAATCATATGGTAATCCTATGTTTAACTTTCTGAGGAACCACCAAATTGTTTTCTACAGTGGCTATACCACTTTACGTTTCCACCAGCAATGCACAAAGATTCCAATTACTCCACATCATCACCAACACTTGTTACACTTGTAATTATTATTATTATTTAAATAATAGCCGTATTGTGATCTTTTTAAAACATCAGTGCAATCATGCAGCCTCCCAAGCCATGGAAACTGTTCTTATCAAGGCTACCGATGGCATCTCCATCACTAAATCCAGTAGTTGGCTCTCAAGTAGTCCTTGTCTACTTGACCCATAACCAGCATTTGATATAGTTGCTCATCTCCGTCTCTTTCCTCTCCCTTTCTTATCTTGGACTTCACCCACTCTCCTGGTTTTCTTCCTTTCTCATGAGCTATACCTTCTCTGTCTCCTTTCCTGGTTTCTCTTCCTTTCTTCTAAATATTGTAGTGTTCCGGGGCCCAACCCTTAGGCCTCTTTTTCTCTACTTACACCTCCAGGTTTGTGGCTTTAAATTGCACCTACACAATGACGGTTCTCAAAAGTATGCCTCCACCAGTGGCTCTTTCCTGAACTTTCAGCTGCCTCTGTCCAGCCCACTTCCTCCTGAGATGCCCTTGACTCTGCCTCTTCTGCTGCCTTTGCCTGGTCAACTCCTACTTCCTACAGAACTCAGATCAAAATCCCAGACATTCTTTCACAGGCTCTTACATACCCATTGTCCCCTTTATTACAGTTGTTTATTTAACTGACTGTCTTCCAAAACAGACCAGGAATTACAAGAGGGAAGGGACCAGGCTTATCGTAGGGGCTCAATAATGAATGAATAAATGAGTACCAGAATATCTCTGTGACTTGTCAGTTGCTTTTATCCAAGCTTGAAATGCAATATCTGCATTCTCTATCTACCAGGAAATCTCCATTCATCCATCAGGATCAACATAACTTCCTGTGATGCTGGAGGGGCAGCTAGTACCCCCTCCATGGGCCTGCCACTCTCCCTTACTCAAGCCGCATCACAGCCCTGACTGCTTTTAAAACTAATCAGTGAGCTCTTTGGGGAGCAGGTTTTATGTCTTACTCATTCACCTAAAAGAAATCTCCACTATAATCACTAACAAATGGTATTTGTCCATGGCCAGAAGTTACTTGGCTGTGCCTCCAGTCCCTTTCAGCAGACAATGGGACCCCTGAGGGTTGACCCTCCCCCAGGGCCTGTGCAATGCTTCAAATATAACATGCATTCAGCTAGAATCTGATTAATAAACGAATAAACTACAGCTTGAGTGTTTTGGATCTTCAGTTCAAATAAGCAAACTGAAGAACAAGAGCAAAATCTGCCCAAGATTCTAAGTTCCTAAGTGACAGCAGAGAGTGTATCTTTTAGCTTCCATCTGGCGAGGCATTTTTGGTACTAAAGGAAACATGGGCAATGAGAAGTCTCATTGCTCTGGAATTCAAGAGAATTTATGAATTACCATTTAATAAATACTTAATGAGCACCTATTAGGTACTAGGATCTGGGGTTATACCAGTGAACAAACCCTGCTCTTGTGAACCTACTAGTGGAGGAACACAAACCCATAAAAAAGTAAGTCACAGGGTGATAAGTACTATGTTGAAAACGAGTAGGCAAAGGGGGACATCAAGGGGAGAGTGGGGTTTCTTTTATATTCTTTTATATTATTTATATTTTATATTCTTTTATATTAAGGGGAGCGCAGGTTGTTCAAGGAAGTCTGCTCTGATTAGCTGGCACTGGAAGAAGTGTAGAGTAAAGCAAGGGATTTGCCCATGCAAGTATCTGGGGGAAGAATTTTCCGGGAAGAAGAAACAGGCAGTGCAAAGCCTAGCGGCTGGAGGGTGCGTGGCCGGTGCTCCAAATCGCAAGGAAGTCTGTGTCGCCGGACTGCTGGTCGCAGGGGAATTGTGGGATTCTGATGAGACTGAAAGCTGCAGGGGAGTGTCCGGTTCTGACTTAAAGGAATACTGGGCTGCTGAGGTTTGTAGGAGTGTTATCGGGGTGGGAGTGGGGGTGGGGGTGGGGAGACTGAGTCGGGCGGGAGCCGAGGCCGAGCGGCTGGGAAACCATTGCAACTCTCCAGGCAAAAGATTTTTAGCAAGGGGTTATTTAGCCAGTCTATGGGTATTTCAGGCGCCCGTATTTCCCACCTGTCTGTCAAGCCACTGGACCCACCCGTTTTCCACGAGAGCCCCCGGGCCCCAATCGCTGCCTGGGAGACATCCGTTTCTTGCTCTGATAAAAATTCTTTGCGGGAAGAAAAAGGCTTTCAGTTCCCACTGCGTTCTTCGATCCCAGATCCGAAGGGCCCCGCGCCCGGACAGCCTCGGACAGCGCCCCCGGTGCGGGCCGGCCGGGGCCGGGGCCTCCGATCCGCGTCGGCCTCCGGGGCTGGGGAGTGGGATCGGCGCGCCCCCCGCGGCCCGGCCCGGCGCCCC